TTTTTTTTTTTTTTGGAAAGTGTGAAAAGAAAGTAATAAAAAAAAACCCCAAAACTGTACTAAAAGCAATTATCTTAAGGCTACATCATGTTGAACATGGTTTTGTATCTTAATATTCTCCAACACAACTGGATCCTCCTTCTTCAGCACTTCTGTGGGGTATATATTGAATTTTCCAAGCAGCTGTTGCATACTAGCTGCCTTCCTGCTTAGCCAGCTGTGGCTTCCCAGCATCAGTTTACCTGTTGTGTGCTCATGCCACAACCTCCAAGTTCCTTCACACCAAAACAGCTGGGGAGAAGCTTTAATTCAGAGGACAACAGACAGATGCTGACAAGAAATTTAAGTCTTAAACACAAGGAAATACATTTTTTGCCCACATAAAAGTATTATATTCCCATGCAAACATTTAATCTGCTAGTTCAAATAACTCATACTTTCCAAGTGGAGAGGTTTATTTCTTCTTAATATCATAAATACTATCTAATTTTAAAAATCTATTAAAAAATCTTTAAAACTTAGGGAAAGTGTAATTTTTTTTGGTCTTGGTCATTACACTGTTTGCAATCTGACTTACTCCTATTAAGAAGCTGTAACTACCTTTTGTATTTTTCTACACAGTGTAAAACTACATGACATCAGAGTCTAAGTTATTCAACTACTACAAAACCAGGCATTCGACTAGGCTATTTCAGAAACAAAAATTTATCTTACTTCTTTTGAAGGATTCATTGGTAGCGTAAAGATTGTTTTCCAATATGACCAGACGAACAGCATGAAAAATATGTGGTAAGCAACCAGGCACACAACTAAAATCAAAAAGGAACAGCATTAATACAAACAGACCAGTGATATTATAGTACTTAGGAACGGATGCCGTACGTATCACAGATAGTTACTCTAACAGATATAAATACAGAGGCTCTTCAAAAGCTTTGCAACAAAAATATTGCACTGCAACTTTACATGAGACAAATGCAGACTGTGTGGGGAAAGTCATGATACAGGTTACATATATTACAAAAGTCTGAGGGGAATGCTTAATAGCTTATTAGAGCCCCATAGCTATTTAGCAAGCACTCTCCCTTTACACATTTGTTAAATCCTATTCAACTGATGCATCTCTGCTTTTTAGCTTTATAAACCATGTAGAGAGAGTGCTAGCCATGCAAAAATACCCGAACAAAACCACCAAACCTTCCCCTCAAAGGAAATATAGCTACCTAAACAACACCTAGAGTGAGGGGGAATCTTTGAGTGGATATAGTTATGATACCTGAGCAGTAACTCCAACCAGGTAATTTGTTTTGCTAGATTTTTAGGAGGGAGGACACTAAGGTGGTTTTTAAAAACCTGCAGGTTCTTTTAATTCAAATGTTCGTTCACTACTTTGTATTTTTCACAGCCAGTGATTATTCTTAGATTTTTTTTAATAGATGGCAGCCAACGTTAACCATGCTGAGTTGTTTTACTAGAATACAGAAGGTAACATTAACTTTTCCAAAGAGCCTGCGTGGATGGATATGTGTTTCCATTGAAAAGCTCACACTGTACTAAGCAATTCCCTACAGTAAATACTAAATCCAAAACCTGTATCCCCTGATTAACTTGCTCTAATGTGCAAGGAAGAGTATATCCTTGGATTTTTCTTCCTCGGGCAGAGGAGCAGCAAATAAAGGACAGCTAGGACAGCAACAGTGAAAAATATTATTTCCCTGCTGTACAGATGAACTCAGATCATAGAGAGCTCAAGGGTATATGGAAGCTACACGGTCAAGTAGTCTTTACTCAACTTCTATAAATGTACAAGATTGTCAAAAAACTTTATAAAGGGAAATTTGTATACTTTCACTACACAATCTGAAATACTGCCTTGTATGGTTAGCCCTTGTTTTCATACATGTAATGCTATCCAGTGCTAGAGAATTCTCTGTAACATGTTACAGTTTGCATAAATGCAGGAACAGTAGCCAAGCATGTTCTTGTTTTTTGTAATTTTGCCTCAATAGTTACACTGAATAAATGTTTCTGGTGTTGAAGTTTGCTTACTCAAAAAAGCAGCAACACAGTAAATATTTATTCTTATTCACTAGGCAGTTGAAAAATAATAAACAGCTAACAAAATCTGAGGAGCAACGCTGTGCAAAGCCTTTGGCATGACAGGGGAAAAGGGCCATATGCCACGTCTAGAAACTGAAAAAAAAATCTCATCAGTGCAAGTAAGTGATAGAACTGGACTCCACATCAAGCACAATAAACTAAATGACCATCGTGTTACTACACAGGCATCTGGCAGGAACACTCCACATTTTTATCAGAACATTTCTATCAACTATAAAAAAACCCACCCTGATTTACTCAAACAAAACCAGTATTTTTTTTAAACAACAATATATTCATGGTATAAAGTGAGGGAAAGGCAGGGGAAGTTACGTCAGCTCTGTGCACTACGAGTTTACTTATCTACATCTGCATTTTATTGTTGTGAGAATAATGGTAATTGTGATTGGCAAGAAAATTCCTTTTTTAGACATTTAAAAACAGACTATTGGAGGAAGACAAAATTTTAGCCTAGAGACATTTTTCCATGTTTCCCCTTTAAAGTCTGTATAAGAGTTAGGCTCTTCTTGTTTGCTCTTGCACCTCAGTTCTCCAACCTCACTTCTCCCAGGTCACCTACCCCCCAGTTTCCCTGCACTGCCATGGAGACCCTGGGCTACCCAGATGCTCCAATGGGTCTGTGGGTGTTGAGAGTTCAACAAAAGAACCTCAATTCCTTTGAGACAGGAGGGAAAAAAAAAAAAAAAGCTCTCTGGGTAGAAATCCTTCCACTTTACACTTCTTCTGAAAAAAGTCCTAACGGTGTACCCCTTGCTTGAAGGCAACCCATTTACAAACAGGCAGCATTGCTAGAGTTGCCTGGAAGCCTGCAGCAACCCCTAACAGGGCTGAGCCCCATTTGCCCAGTCTTCACCCCTGAAAACACTTGGGGCAGAAGCACAGCCCAGGAAAATTTCTCCTGACTGGCTGAAGCTCACCAAGGCTTTCAGCAGGTAAAAATAAGGAAATTTAATGTTCCCCAAATGCATTTTGCTGATAATTCTAATGTGCTTTGTGAGCAATGCCTAACACCACAGTGCTCTCACACACACACACAAACTATAAAGCAGCAAGACACTGGAATTACTTCAGAGTCTGCAGGTGCTGAAGTTTGCAGATATGCTTATGCACTCATGTGGGGTGATGGATCATAGGACAGAAAAAAGTTTTTCAAGCAAATGCTTCTAAATTGGCAAACACTTTTTCTAAGTGAGGGAGTCGCCAATGACTCAGTGAAACCTGCTGGAATTCCACAAACACAAAAAGCAAACAGTTTGTCTCCTAACTCCCAACTCCTTCCTCCAAAAGCTCCACAGCCCCACGCTTTAGACTTCCATGTTGTGCTGTGGTATTAAAATAACATCTGGAAAAGCAATCTAAACATGCTACAGCCTCAGGGTAGGAGCTCTAATGACAGCTAATCAGGCAGTTTTATTATCTTCTGAAAAGGTTATGTATCTGAAGGATTCTGTTTCTTCAAAGACGCTGGCTAAAAAGAAACTCTAGGAAAAAATCACCTCCCATTCAAGTATGTAGCACTCTGCACAAACACCTTGCTCATCTTTAGAAGTCCTGGTTTTACAAGAGCTTTCCCTGTTATGAATAAAAATTTTTACAAACAGAATATAATGATTATTTTAGTTGACACTCCAGAAAGCCAGTAAGAAGAGTATAAAGTTCTATTTGGAATGGCTAAAGCAATATCCAGTAGCAGCAGGATAATAAAAGGAGCTGAGGAACATGAAAAAAATTCCACTTTTTAAAAACAGGTTAGATCTCTGTGTCAACTCTACTAATAAACTACTATATTATCCTGATATATGAATTCTACTGATAAAAAGCTAATAAAAATCTTACCTTTTTCTCCAATATTTTTCATTGTCACTGAAAAATGAGAAAAAAGGAAGGAGTAAAAATGATGTTTAAATTATAAGTTATACAGCTGAGTATTTTAAACTTTTGTCTTTCAACCAAAGAAGGAAAAGTAATCACCAAACAATACAAGCTTAAGGCCACACACTACCAAGCTTTTATGGTGTAGCTGTATACATTCATCATGAGAATACATAAAAAATTAAAGCTGCTGCCAATTGCTTATAATGTTTTCTGGCTCCCACTCCCAAGCTCAGTTCCTGGCAATGGAGCACCTCCTTCTGCCCAAGCTTAACCCAAGAGAAGCCATCTCTGAAGAACAGTTGCTCTTCAGAACTGTGGTGTTCCTTCCAAGTTTCATTGTTTCTGTTCTGTTCTTGAGGCGGGGGTGTCAGGCTCCAGAACTGGTTCTGCCAGCAATATTCAGTGATTCCTTCAGTAGGTCTCTAAGGCATAAAACCCCAAAGTAGACAGAAGCTGCATTTCCTTTAAGAAACTGTCCATGGATTACGGGATTTGTAAGTAAGAAAGACAGTGAGAAAGGTGCGAGTATGTCAGGCAAGGAGTGGAGTACCCAGATACCATGTATCAGTCACCACACTTATGGAAAGAGAATAAAACTTTCTCTTACACCTGTATTCCACTCTTGGTCACATTATTTACAAAAAATAACCACGCCACAAAAGACATATCTCAGAGAAATCAGAAACTCCCAGGTGTTCAAAACCTCTTCCCTTTCCACCCAAACCACTCCACCACACATTTGTCCATCCCAATTAAGCAGTCTACAAACCGTAATATATTGACACCTACAATTGCGAGCAAGAGGACATCTGCTCTTGTTTTCCCAACAAATATGGTTACACAAGGCTGGTCTTCAAGCAGCAGACACAAGGCAACTCCTACTGAAAGGCCAAGCAGCCATGCCATCCTGCTTGGATGTATTAAACTCAGGCTTGTTGATAGAACGAGTCACTATTTAAATATACCTTGCACAATGCAAGGATGTATGTGGGACCAGCACAGCTCAACACCACAACTAATGCTCTGGAAGAGTGAACATCCATCAAGTCATCCATCAAGACACAAGTCTAAGGGAGAGCGACCAAGCTGGTAGGGACCGGATCACTCATCCTCTGAGAAGAGGCTTGTTCAGCCTGGAGAAGACACAGCTCCAATCCTCCGGAAGGACCTAACAGGACCTCCAGGAAGGCATTGAGGAGGTGGAGCTGAGCTCTTCATAATGCCAGAGGGTGAGAGGACAAGAGCCAGTAGGTATAAGTTGAAATGAGAGGATCAGATTTGATACAAGGAAAACTTTTCCACTAGAGCAAGTTGTCCAGACATCATGTACAGTATCCATCTCTGGAGCTTTTCAAGACTTGACTGGATAAAAACCTGAACAATCTGGCCTGACCTCACACAAAACCCTGCTTTGATTAGGGGGTTGGACTAGATGAGCTGAAGTCCTCTCAAACATGAATTATTCCATGACTCTGTAAGTCTATTAAAACAGAGATTCAACTACAGCTCTACCAAAATGAGCATCTACATCACCTGAGTAAAAAAACACGTTTATAAAGTTCTTCACAAAATCTGAAAGACACCAAGAAGTTGCATAAGCCAGTATAAAGAAAACTCTATTCTGCCCTCAGTTTTCTAGTAGAGCCAAGAGAAATCTTTAGGGCTTGATAAGCCAAATATCCACCTAGACAACTGCTAGAGAGAAGCTGAGGGAACGGGGATACACATTTGACTCTGAGAAGCAGAGATGCTGCAGTACAGTAATGCACAAGAACCATAAAATTGTAAGTAAACAGCCATCCATCAGAAAAAAAAGCACAAAAGACATCTTCAGAATCAATGTGTAATTTAGAAGTGCTGGAGCTCTCAGCTTAGGACAAACCAGCCAATACATAAAGGCTGATTTTCTTTCTCCACTAGGTATGGTCAGCAAAGCGTGCAGAAATTTTGCCAGTCTTCTTGGAGTAACTACTCTGCTAATTAAAAAACTGTAGCCAAGCATTCACTGCAGAATCACCAGCTTCAAACTAAAATCTACTTAGAAAATCAACCTTTCACAGTAATTTGTGGTATTCTTCCTCTCCTAACAAGGGAATGGCACAGAACATTGCTGTGAAAGCAGTTGTCATATTTCTTTCCCTCTTAACCCTGGGTAAAATGTATTAATTGATGTGTTCAAGACTTTTAACTTTTCCACACGTCTGTAAGTAAAGAACCAATACAACTAATAAATGCAAATTTATTAATTTCTACCTGACTGTAAGCCTACAGCTTTTCAAAATCTCTGTCCCCTCTGGGATGAAATGTGCTCTTCAAAGTCCATACCTGGTCGGTGAACCATCTTTTCAGCTTTTGAGGTATCTAATTTAGAAGCAAAATGTTTCTGACAGTCAGGAGCTGCAGACCATGAAGGCTAAAATTTAAGTGCCCAATTTAAATTGGGGGTTGGGGGAGAAGCCCTTACAAATCAATCTCTCTCTTAAATTTCTCTTAAAAATTAAACGTTGTCTATTTGTAGAATGCTGACAGTACAAAGACTTCTTAGGGTAACCACAACATGCTTATAATTCTAAAATCACACTATTTAAGTGCATGGAAAATAATCTTCTAACATGAAAAAAACCCTCTAATTTTGGATTTGATCAAAGAAACATTTGTTATTTTCCCCCACCTTCTGAACAGCACTCACGATACATTTATTTTAACCAAATTTTATATTTTTCAGTAGATACAGTGATACAGCTTTGCTATATGATTCAATAGTATTTGATCATATAGTTTTCTGTGAATCATTTATATCAGTCTTTCTTGCAGTTTTCTCATTTCTCTTCCAAGGGGTTATATTCACTGCTGGCAGTGCACAGAAAAGTAGGTCAGGCTGCGCATCCTGTCATTAAATGCTGCAAATTCACTTACTGGTAGTCAAATAGCATATAAATAATAAGGGTAAAAAGCATTTATGTCTACAGTGACTAAAATAAACACCAAGCACACGCCAATCCCAACCATTAAGCAATTTCTATAATCTGGGAGAAAACAGAGTAAAACACTTGGAGGGAGGAATGGCACGATGCTCCCGTATACTCAGGGATGGAGATAATTATAAAACTATGACCTGTCTTCAAGAAGTCATTAAAAAGTTACAGCTCTGTTCGCCCATGATACTGCAGGGGCCAATTTCATTAAGAAGCTGCCTTCCACTGCTAAAGCATCAGGATGCCATTTACAGCTCAGTACCAGCAGCCCAGCACATAATTAGCGCCTCTCTGTTTGATTATGCAGCTTGCAGACGGTGCTCATCAGAATTAGGGATCGGACTGGGACACAGGCAGGACTTCAGCCGAGCTAGATGCCAATTTCCTGAGCCACAAACATCATTCCCTGCTTGCCCTGAGCCACAGGCAGCCAGAAACAGGAACAGCACATTCAGTAGTCAATGCTGCTTGAACAGCCTGCGCTCGCAAAAAACAACAGTGACCGAGGACAGAAAATTGTGCTACAAAAGACAGGGTGAAATCCAGGATGGAAAGGACAACCAGAAAAAGCTGGGGAATTCATCCCACACTTGCTGGTGGTCTTCCTTACTGGGAGAAAGCCATGAAGTGTTGGGAATGCTGCCTTGGCAAGCAAAGAGGCACCACGGTATCTCAAAACTGCCTGCTACAACTCCATCACCGAATTAGTTTGCCAAGAAGAAAAGCCACATCGCGAGGCAGCTTGCACTGGGTCAGACCTTAATTCAGTGACAGAAATGGATTTCCCATTTCTTGAACTGCGGCTCACTTTCTCCAGAAATCTCTATTAGCACGCACCCGTGGAAAATTAAGTAGGCAACCATCTCCATGTAGCTAGAGACATGGCAGGACACACTGCTACCACAAAATCCAAAAGATTTTGGAAGATAAAATTAATGTAAAAAATTTGCATTGGTTTTCTAAAATTAAATTTTCCTTGACTTTAAAACCTAAAAATGAAATTCCCGAACAGTAAATGTAATGGTTAGATTTCAAAAAAAGACTGGAGAAAGCAATTAAAGCTTTGATGGAAGTGGACTTACAAAATCTTGCTTCCGTATTTTATGTACATTTTTAAAATATTTAAAACTTTGGAATGGGAAAATAAGGTACATCTGATTTAGAGACTCTGCAGCCACATCTATAAATAGCTGTTTCTCTTAAACTTTTACAGAGTTTAACATCTTGGATCTGATTCACAAAAGTAAGTACATATTTTATCTTTATAGCATATTTGAAGCTGTAAAACACCGATCTATAGATGCAGTTTAACTCAGCTCTCTGTACATATAAAAGTGTTTTATAGTTGCAACAAGTGTTCTATCCTTGTCTGCAATAGTCCTTTAGAAAAAAGATCAGTGCTTGCAATAAAAACTACCTCTTTGCCAGACAGAGCAGTGATTTGCATTGATTCGAAGTGACAAGGTGGAGACTCTGCCACCAGCGCTTCGCTTCTGGACAAGAGTAACAGAAATATTTCTGGGAGATATTTAAGGTCGGTGTGAGTAGTCATCAATAGCCCATACGTTTGGATTTGACAGCATTTTTGAATGTTTCAGTAAGTTCATTTTAACCCTGTGCCCACCAAACCACATCACTGCCCACCTACCCAGCAGCAAGCTGCCATTTGGTACCTTTAGGTAAGGTCACAAACCCACTGCTTTTGAATGGAGTTGGACTAAGAGTTGGTCTAATCTTTCTTCTTCACAAACTTCCCATTTGCTTTCCAAGTCACAAGGACTAAGTGAAGACTGAAGACTACTTCTGGAGAACTGGTATGACCAGTCCTTTCTAGCAAACAAAGAGTACACCCTGACACGAACATCTATTCAAGCTGCTATCTATCAAGCAGTGTTTAATCTTTAACCGAAAACACAACCTTATCTAATAATTATATCTTCACTGTAGGCCTTATGTTCTCCACCTAAAGCCACGGTTTAAATTTCAAGGCACAAAACTTATAGGTAGTACACTAGCCACTACATGGAGACATAACCAGTCCCATTTAACACAGATTTTAATTCAATTTCGGCAGTGGAGAATGGCAGCCGCCTCTGAAAGTCTGAGAGAGAAATGAAATGAGATTTGAGAAATGCACAGGAGTACTGCTGGCTAAAATTCAGCAGCCCATTTTACTTCAGCTGCCAGGTTTGAAATGCTTCTGAAAGTAACCAGGGATCTCAGAAGAGGAAAAAAAATGTGGTGTTTGCAAAATACAGTATAAAAATACCTATTTGCTTTGATCAAAGTCCTTTGCTACCTTAGCAGCCAATGTACAGACAGGGTATTTAACTGTTATTTGTCAATAGCCAACTGCAGCGTTAAAATGCACTTGTATTTCTATAGCCAAATGTAAGCTGTAGGCGATTACAAGACATAAGCAGCAATTACCATAAATCCTTTGATCCATTTGGAGAACATACTGAGGAAAGAGCTCAAATCCAGCTGACCAAATCTTGGGCTTCACCTTCCCCCCTTCAACATCCCCCCTTTCTCTCTTCCTCTATCAGCTTTTATCTCCATATTTTCTGCCGCTTCTGGTCCCCTGATGACACCACGCCGTGCCCACAGGGCATGCATTAATTCTGCCTCTAAACTGTGATGAATTAAGCAGCCTTTTATCCTGCCGTAATTCCATTCCCCCGATGTTATGCAGAGTCAAAATCCTCGATTCAGCACTAATCAATCTGATCCTCCAGCATAAATCTGTCACGATCATTAACATCTTTAGCAACTGAGTAACATTCCACACTTCTCTGTTGCACTAATTCCATTCCCCCGATGTTATGCAGAGTCAAAATCCTCGATTCAGCACTAATCAATCTGATCCTCCAGCATAAATCTGTCACGATCATTAACATCTTTAGCAACTGAGTAACATTTCACATTTCTCTGTTCCATACCGAGGGTAGCTGTGGACAGATCCCAGTCACACACTCTACTCCAAACCCAAAGATGTGGCTTACGAGCTCTCCTGACCCTATTGTCAATGTCCTGTTGCCCCCCTCTTCAACTGTGCTGAAGTTACTTATTCTTTTCCAATTCAGGCAAATCACTCACCAGGTAGCAATCTTTCCTCCCTTCTCCCTTCACTGAGGTAGTCAGGAAATGCTTATTGCTTGTTTCTGTGTTACACAGCAAATCTATTTTCCTTCTTCAAAATTAAAAATTCAAGCTGCATTTTCAGACAGGATTCCCTGAGCGAGAGCATTATCCTCAGAATTAAAATCAGTGACATGTAAAAATGGATCAAAACTGAACATATACAATGTCAGAAACTGCAAGTAAGTACTGGTTCTGCCTTACCCAAAGCATGGAGTGGACAACTACTCTTAACTCCCTTATAGTTCTACTAACCCTAGTTAGAGATACATCTAAGAAGGAAGATGTAAGTCTAATGATTTCCTTTCCAAATAGTTTACTGATTCAAGTATGTGTTTTCTGAGTACAGACGCAGGGATGCAGGCGCTGGGGGAAAGAATTTCATTTGCACTTCACATTACTGTTGTTCCATACATCCTAGGCTGAAATTTCAGTAGCCTTAGCTATTGAAGTTCAACATACTCACATTGGCACTATTTCCTCATCTTTTTCTGAGGAAGAACAATGACTCTGTAATCCTCAGGTTTTCATAAACACATTCAATTTTTTTTTTCTTTTTGTTTTTTATTAAGGCAAGGAATACTTAAAGGCCATTAATTTTAAACACAAAAGAAGTTATTATTTGGGGAAAAAAGACAACTATTACTGCCAGGCAGGGGTTGTGGGATGACAGTACCGGTAGAATGGAACTGGATTAGAGAGGTGCAATTTTTAGTCAGGGCTTTTAAAACCAATTCATTTACACATTTAATTCCAGTATTCTATAACCAGCAGGAAGAAGATAATTGTTTCTCATTTTCCTTAAAGGTTAAAGCAGCACAAGCACTTAATTGAATCCACTAATAAAAGAGATAGAACTTTGGACATGGTAATAGTAAAGTTAAAAGTTGCAGATTCCTTTTTCTGTTTCTAAAATGCTACTCAATACCGTAACTTCGCAGCTTTAGGGATGAAAGGGATCATCTTAGTAGACTTTTTCTTCCTTTTTAAAAAAAATTAAAATATCCCCTCCTACAAGGCTCAGTTGAAACAGCAACACATACTTAAAATTCTACATTTGAAACTCTTCCTCATTAGTGAAAGCTCCGATGAACCACTTGCATTACAACAGTGCAAAGTCCTTGCTAAGTCCTACCAGGCCATGGTTAACACTGTTCCCTGTACGCTGTCATTAGCATCAGTGACAGTGAGCCACAGTAAAATAAACAGTGATGTATGTCCTTTTTCAGCAGTCAGTGCTGCAGGAATACAAGATGCACCTATATGCACCAGCCTGAGCAGACAGGCTGGCTTCAAAGCGCTGAAATGCTCACAGTCTATTCCTGCCGTTGGCTTTCTCTCCCAGAGTTGTTAGCTATTCCTTCTGTTGTTTACACTAAATATTCATTAGTAAGACAAGACATAAGTTTATTTTATCTTAATATGCCAAAAGCGAGGGAAAACATCCAGATATAGATAAAAGATGGAATTAGTGGAAGTCGCGGAGAGCTATTATGCTGAATTCAAAAACTGGTGAGCCAGGCAGAATGAGGAAGGGAGGGGACGGTGGTGGGGGAAACAAAAATAAAATCCCCTTTGTTCTCGGGAAGGAATGCAGTAAAAGATGTTTTAGCAGAGCCTCAGGATTCCCTCTTTCTCCCCTCCCATCGAAGGCCTTGAGTGGTTCTCAAGGAATAATGGTACCATAGTTTATAGCTTGAAGCAAGTTTCAAACATGCCATTTCCTTAAGAGGTACCCACTTTCAGATAAGCTAGAACCTTTCCTCTGTTATACAGAATTACACAGAAGAAAAAATACAGTAGATAACTCAAACAGCAGCACTGGAATCAAGCCTACTGGACTGTGTAAGCATCACAGGGATGTTTACATTAGGACAGATGTTAACTAAAGATGGTCACTTTCCTCCAAAACATCCTGTCAGTTTACAGCTCCCCTTCCCAGGCTCACTCAGCCAACTTCTCCCACAACCTTCCAGACAATTCTCTGCCTTGTGCTGGAGGCAGACACTTCAGTTCTCCTCTCCTGAGGGCACAGCAACTGAAGTCCCAATTTCTAGTTGAAAAGCAGCATGTAAAACTAACAGATTTGAATGCTGTCAGAAAAAAAAAAAAAAAAGATGTAAAAAGCCCACCTCAAATATAGGAACCACACCACGTCTTGATACCTCCCTCCAAAACAGAGGTGCTAGGCCTGGCAATGATTTTAATGTGTCAACTGCTCAGACAAGCATCTGTAGGACAAAAATTTTATCACAGTCTTCTGTTAAAAAAAAAAAGAAGAAATATCCAAAATTAGGTACCAAACTGCCGAGATTTTCTACATGAACAGCTGAAGTCTGGCAAAGTTATATAGTCATACAGAATCATAGAATTGTCTCGGCTGGAAGGTGGATCATCAAGTCCAACCATCAACCTAACACTGGCAAGTCCACCACTAAACCACGTCCCTCAGCACCACGTCTACCCACCTTTTAAATACCTCCAGGGGTTGTGATTGCACCACCTCCCCAGGCAGCCTGTTCCAACGCCTGACAACCCTTTCGGTGAAGAAATCTTTCCCAATATCTATCCTAAACCTCCCCTGACACAACTTGAGGCTATTTCCTCTTGTCCTATCTCCTGTTACACGGGAGAAGAAACTGACACGCACACACCCCTCCCAGCTACAACCTCCTTTTGGGGAGTTGTGGAAAGTGACAAGGTTGCCCCTCAGCCTTCTTTTCTCCAGGCTGAACACCCCCAAGTCCTTCAGCTGCTCCTCGTAAGACTTGTGCTCCAGACCCTTCACCAGCTTCCTTGCCCTTCTCTGGATCCGCTCCAGCACCTCAATGTCTTTTTCGTGGTGAGGGGCCCAAAACTGGCCCCAGCCCTCGAGGTGGGGCCTCAACAGTGCCCAGTCCAGGGGGACCATCACTGCCCAAGTCCTGCTGGCCATGCTATTCCTGATACAAACCAGGATGCTGCTGGCCTTCTTGGCCACCTGGGCACACTGCTGGCTTGTATTCAGGAGGGACTCAGCTTGAGTTGGGTATTTTCCCCTCAGCCCTGCTCCCTGGACAGACCTGAAACGCCCAACGACCGCTGAGGGGGAAAAGAGGGGAAGACAACCCCCTGAGGTGTATTCCCGCTCCATTTCACAAAACCCATCCGGCTCCACCACTCAAATCCACGCAAAACACCCCCTGTAACCCCCTATTCGCCTTAGGCTACCGAAGAGCCAAGGGGTACGGTGCGGGGGAGGACTTTCCCAAGGAACTGGAGACTACGGGCGACCCAAATGGCGGGTGGGAGGACGGGGGGGACATGACACACAAGCGCGGAGGCCCAGCACGACTCTGAAGGGGACCGGGCTGAGGGGGCTAGTGTCCAGCCCGGCCAGGGGCGGCCCCCGGCGGCGACAAACAACGGACAACGCCGCCGAACGGCGGCGTTGTCCGTTGTTTGTCGCCGCCGGGGGCCGCCCCTGGCCGGGCTGGACACTAGCCCCCTCAGCCCGGTCCCCTTCAGAGTCGTGCTGGGCCTCCGCGCTTGTGTGTCATGTCCCCCCCGTCCTCCCACCCGCCATTTGGGTCGCCCGTAGTCTCCAGTTCCTTGGGAAAGTCCTCCCCCGCACCGTACCCCTTGGCTCTTCGGTAGCCTAAGGCGAATAGGGGGTTACAGGGGGTGTTTTGCGTGGATTTGAGTGGTGGAGCCGGATGGGTTTGGCACTCACGGAGGCAGAGCTGGGTGACATAGGCGTAGTAGGACCAGCAGAGGATGCTGGAGATGAAGAGGACCGGCACCCAGTAGAGGAGCCGCTGGCAGCGTCGCCGCAAGCCCATACAAGTCCCCGCCGAGCCGGCTGGCGGCAGAGGCAGCGGCGGCGGCGGCGGCGGGGCCGCCATCTTCTCGCACCGCATCCCGGCCGCCTCCCTCCCCGGGGGTCCGGGCCCCGGCCGAGAGCCCCGCCGGAGCCCGCCCCGGTCCCTCCCTCCCGCGCTGACAGGGCTCTCTGGTATGGCCCGCTCCTCCCACCGCCCGCCCTGAACAGGGGAAGGGCCCAGCGAGAGGTAGCGGCGTCATGGAGCCATGGGTTGGGTTGGAAGGGATCTTAAAGACCATCTGGTTCCAAACCCCCTGCCACGGGCAGGGACACCTCCCACCAGACCAGGTTGCTCAAAGCCCCATCCAGCCTGGCCTTGAACCCCTCCAGGGATGGGGCATCCACAACTTCTCTGGGCAACCTGGGCCAGCGTCTCACCACCCTCACAGGAAATAATTTCTTCCTGATATCTAATCTAAATCTCCCCTCTTTCAGTTTAAAACCATTATCCTTCATCCTATCACTCCATTCCCTGATTAAGAGTCCCTCCTCATCTCTCCTGTAGCCCCCTTTAGGTACTGGAAGGAGCTACAAGGTCTCCCCAGAGCCTTTTCTTCTCCAGGCTAAACAACCCCAACTCTCTCAGCCTGTCCTCACAGCAGAGGGGCTCCAGCCCTCTGAACACCTTCATGGCCCTCCTCTGGACTTGCTCCAACAGCTCCATATCCTCCTTATGTTGGGAGCTCCGGAACTGGATGCAGTGCTCCAGGTGGGGTCCCACCAGAGAGGAGCAGAGAGGCAGAATCACCTCCCACCACAGTCCCCTCAGGGTCTGGTTGCCCCTGGCCTGATGGGGAAGGGAACATTCCCACCACCTCCCTTGAAGTTTGGTGCTGGGCAGTGGAGCACCTCAGTTCTTTACACAAGCAGTTATGGACCTCAGGATTCCAGCATGTTCCTTTGGGTGCTACCAGGCTGGAGGCACCAAAGATGCCTCCCCATCTAATGCCCAGTGCCCAGGCTTTCCTCCAACATAGGGATGGGGATGCTTAACCCCCCTTGGACATACTTCAAAACCCTTGTTTAAGAAAAGTGCTGCCTCATTTGCAAACACATAATGAACAACAAGCGTTGCAGGCCGCCGTGTCGCAGTGCCCAAGAGACCACGGCGGCCGGCCACGCTCATGGTGGATGTTTGGCCAAGGGAAGGTGGCCTGAGGTTGTGCTGACTCACTCCTTCCCGAAAAGGCTTCATTGTAATGAAACGCTTGTGAAATGTCATAGTAAGCCCAGACGGCCTTGCGGTACGCTCACCCAAACTGCTGCTGAATTATCCTTCCAGAATTAGAAATGCCGAGCACGGCCCCTAGTACTTCTGCAATCTGCTGGAGTCTTCTCAGGGCACGGGCGGCACAGCGGGGAGGAAAGAAACGGGTGATTAAAATGTGTCTGGACTTGGAAAAAAGGCTGGTATAACGTCACGCACGGGAGACTACGCATGAAGCGAAGTGATCACAACCTGGAAGGCATACGGCTGGCATTGATTAAAAACAGGCTGTGCAAGAGAAAGGAAAAAACAGAGAAAATACGACAAAAACAATAGTAGGTGCGCTGCCAGGTTCCAGAGTATGAAACAGAGTTGTTAGCGTGGTTATTGAAGGGACAGAAAAAGAAGTTGACCATATGGCTGCGGTGTTTTTATGTAATGCAAAATTATGGGCCCCTCATTATTGTCAGATGAGGCTGAGGAATTTCAGTTAGCCACGGCGAACCGGGTGAGTGAGCAATACAGAATGATGTATCGAGAGGAATATTAATATCCCATGGCAGTAAATTATCTTTACCAGAAACAAAGGCCCATATATCATTGTGAATGGCTCACTGAAACCGTCTCTGCAATGTATAGTTATTACAGAAGAGAAATGAACAAGATATGATGCCACCAAAAGATTGGAATATAATAACTTAAGATTCTGCATAATGGGGAGTCATGTATTCTACATTAAAAAGGTAGAGAAATAGTGAATCGTACTGGAAAACTAGATTTGATACTCCTATATACTGTATTTCACAAAATGAGGAAAAGGACCAAAACCAATGTGACATAGACAATAAAGCCATTTTATTTTACCTGTAGTTAATTACGCAAATCATGACTAAGGCCAACATCTTAATAGAATATTTAAAGGATTTGACTTTAGTATGTTTAATGAAAACATCCATGTCTATTCAAAACAGATTGTAGAATTATAAGGAACAAAATTACCACCGCTTGAAGGCATACCCCATGCTTTTCCAGACTAAAGTTGAAAGAAGACATGAAGGCAACTGAATTCATTTGATGGAAATCCCTGACAGTGACCCCTCTCAGGTACAAAGGATAATGCATCTAACGTGTTGTGTATTTCCAGGGATGCACGGCTGTACCACGGCAAGTCAGCACCTGGGAACTCTATGCATAAGGCTGAATTAATTTTTGCATCATACTTGGGGGCTATGAAAAGCTTTCTCCTATAAACCATTTTAAAATGCTGTCTGTGACAAGGGGCTTATTAACAACACACGCCAGGGAAACACGGTAAACGGTAGAGAAGACTTTTTAACATAACAATTAATTCCTTGAAATAATAGTTGTTATTATACAAGATTATGTATATAGAGAGGTGGCAGTTTGCCAGAAATGCAGGAATAAAAAGATGATGAGTTGCAAAGACCTCAAATTGTATCATACAATTTCTGGTCAGAGGCTTTTAATCTCTCCTTCAGGGAAACGGACTTCTGTAGTCCAGATTTCTAACTTTTCCATGGCTGCTACTACCCTCTTCTCACTGCTCAGATTGCACAATAGTCAGAATGTTCTTATTTAGCATGCGAATCATTACATTGATAGTAATTATTATAGCATACTCTTTACTGGAGCTCCAAAATCATGGTCATTCTGGTTCAAAATTAGCTCATTTAGTATGGGCTAAATTTTAATTTAGCCAGGACAAAAAAAAGCCTGCTTTAACCAATACTCCCAATTTCCTTGGAGCATCCTTTGGTCAGAGAGCTGTGAAGAATCTCTCTCTCCTGTCCTCATGCTGGTGGAGCCCATGGACAAGGACATGGGCTCCTCTCTTGCTGCCCTCCATGCCCACAGGTCCTTTCCACTCCCTCCATGACTCTCAGCACTCTCCAGGAGGGTAATCAGAGACCCTTTCTTCTATTCCTTTCCTCCTCCCTCTGTGGTATTGACACTTGTATAAAATGTTCACAGCAAAATGATAGGGGAAACAAAGGTAATTTACTGGCTTTGCTTTTTGTCAGGAGCTGGGCTGAAGGTAGCTGAGATTTGAGGAGGAGGCTGGAGTGTTGCCAAATTGAAACAACATGTTTTTGTCCTAAGTGTTCCAGGAGGGTAATCAGAGACCCTTTCTTCTGTTCCTTTCCTCCTCCTCCTCCCCCTCTGTGGTATTGACACTTGTATGAAATGTTCACAGCAAAATGACAGGGGGAAACAAAGGTAATTTACTGGCTTTTCTTTTTGTTAGGAGCTGGGCTGAAGGTAGCTGGGATTTGAGGAGGAGGCTGGAGTTGGCAAATCAAAACACACTGTTTTTGTCCTAAGTGCTACCACTCAGCTTTTCCCCTGGGACAAGGTATGTGCAAGGCATTGCTGGTGGATTTTTGGTACCCTGGCATGCAGTCCTAATAAAAAAAAATCACTCCCAGGCAAGTCAAGGGAACTGTGCTTTGTTGAACTAACTTTAGATATAAATTAGAACCACAATGTAATTCTTTAAGTCAAACTAGTGGTAAAAATTAACATTACCCAGTCAAGATGAAAGCACACCCCCACATATTTAAGAGTGTGTAAGAAAAAAAACATAATATATCCAAGGGCACCATCTGCTGACAGGTTGAGGGTGCCAAACACTTTCATGGATTTTCAGATATAGGGAAAAATACTGAACATTCAAACCTTACATATATTAGAAAATACTGATATTAGTTTTGGATTGATTTTAAGGGGAGTTCTACAAATTGGCATTGCTACAAATTAGCTTTGTTTCAGATTAATTTTTGAATACTAAGCTTTTGCTCTGATTCTTTTCCTTCTGCAAGTATTACTCTGGAGTTCTGGTAGAAGATGTCTTGAAAGTGTCCTCAGAGGGACAAGACAGCAAGACAAGAATATTTTACATAAAGCATATGACATAATGTTGAATCCAAGCAAAGTGAAAAATTCCTCTACCATTTTTTTCCCCTCCTTTTGTTTCAAAGTATCCTTATCCTGATACATAGGTGGAAAAGAGGAGACCAAATAACTGTAGAAAACCATGCTGCAAATCACCATTAAATAGTATTTCTTTTTCCTCAGGCTGATAACTTTATTCTAAGGCTTAGAATAGATGCACCTGCAGTGGAAGTCATCTGTATCGACTCACTGTCAAAATGTGCAAGGAGGGAAACTGCCAGTGGGATTCTAAACACCAGACCAGCAGGGAGCAGCTTCCAGTACTGGATATTCTGCTGGGAACTGGGAATTTTGAAAACTGAGCTCGAGCAAAAGTTAGTGTTGCGAAGCTACCCAAAGCTGCAGGTGTAAGTTACCATTTTATCACAATTTACAGCTGGTCCGGACACCCTTTGGCAGTTCCGAAGCATCCAGATTGTCTTCTTATATTATTACAGTTTTCTTACAGAAGAGAGTAAGAGCTGGTTTTACAAAAAGCCTTCATTTACGCAACTATGCCATACCTTCATTGCAGCACACAAATCTTCTCTGCTGCCAGGAATTTGATGGATTTTGAGTAAGGTTTTATGGAGCACAGAGACTGCTGCCTGTCCGAGGGGTGCCTCCAGAGCAGATGGCATGTCCCACTATCCTGCTTTGTTTTCACCTGCCTCTCCTTGCATTTCCAGCTCTTTAACAGACAATTCTGTGGCAGAAAAGCAAAGCTATCGAAAGAAATAGCTGAAAGAAACCAAAAAGTATACTTTTTTACGATGGTGAAATGCTCCAATTCAAAATACTTGTACATTCATGTTATGCAAAAAAAGCTGGTTTTTACGACAAAAAAATTTGAATGATATACACTGCAAAGAAAATGAGTTTCAAGTGCATTTATTTTGAAATAAGAATATTATATGCATATATTCATATTTATATTAAATAACTTATTATTAAACATGAGGAAAAAATACTCTTAAAAACTAATCTGACACTTTCACATTCTATTTTATATTAAGTGACTATAGTTAGGAAATACATAGAAAAATGATAAAATTGTCTCAAGCCAGCCATAAAAGCAAAGTGCACTATTGCCTAGGGCAGTGGAGGAGCAAAATGATGCTGCTGCTTCCTCCACAGGGCGGATGACAGTGAATGAAGAGGAAGGAGGGGCACCCCTTCAGTAACCCCCTGTCCTTCCTTCCTTCCCTTTTTATTGTCCTTCATCACTGAAGCAGTGAACTGTGGGGGTTGCAGATGCTGACAAGAAGCAGCGAGACAGTTCTGCGTACCAAGACGATACATTGAAATACCATCAATTCCCTAAAGGATCACACAGGGATTGCAGCTGATCCGTGTTCTGCTGTGCCTTTATCCCAATCTATTTGATTTTTTCTTGTTGTCAGTAGTTAAAGATGCCAAGGTAGAAATTTGTTAAGTATTTATCATGAAATATTAACTAAAATAGCATCCTTCAAAAGCTCTCTATACAGGCTTTTTCTCAGATAAAAGCCACATTTAGTACATTTATTTTTTTTCTCTAAGATTCCCAGAGTGGAATTTCTTAAAAAACATGTTCCTCTTCATTTTGTCTTGACTTTTTAGCAGAGATAAATCTTATTATAAATTAAACATTTCTAAACTTAGGTGTACATACACAGATGCTATACATTTTTTCTACTCATGTGTGATGTAAGACGGCATTTGAGCAACATGGGCACTAAGTACAATTTTGACAAGTTTGATTACAGGTATCTGGAGTAAAAGAAGATTTGAAACCATTATTTTGGTTCTATTGTAATTGTCAGACTCCACCAAATATTTACCTTTCCGATAACATTTTATTGACATTAGTCCATGTCAATGTGTGTGCGTTCAGGTAGAAATATTTCAAGGCACAGATTGTTCCTAAACAGATACAGCCTTATTTAACATCCAGAAGGATGAAAGAAATACGTGTTCATGTTTGTTTGGGTTCAATTTGCATTGCCTAAAAATCATCTTGAAAGGGAGTAAGGAAAAACATTGCTACTGAATAGCAAAGATAAAATTTAGAGACTATGAAAACCAAAGATAACAGTGTCCTTACCGCTGTTTCAGTAACATCTGGACCAACAGGGCAGGAAAGGTCCTGGTAGCTACTCCATATGGCCTGTGGTCTCCATAACCTTTGTAAGGCCCAATTTCTGCTTGGAATTTGCTGCATAATACTCAAAAAACATCACTTAGTGCGTGTTGCTCTGTGCTGCTGCATGCATTCATGTTCGGTTTGCTTTTTTGTTTGGACACAAACACAAGTTATTGATCTATTTTTTCAGATACTGCATTCAAGAGTAGCAAATTAAATGGCTACAATTTCTACTCATTGCCACATCTTACTTCACATAAAAGTGCACTAGTCACAAGAAACACATGAAGTTTTACTCTACCAGAAATGTAGCAGTGAATTTATATGTATGGCAATAAAATTTATAATAAATATTACAAAGTACATGTTACTTAACGTGAATTTGAACATTTTGACTTTTCTTCAACATACTGCTCAAAAGACATTTTAAAATCTCTACTATTTTTTTAAAAGGATAAATAAATAAACATCATTGTAAGACTTGGAGAATCTAAACATTATAGTCCATACAGTACCTTTCCTAGGTAAATACCTGTCATTCACATTATAACCATCACAGCTTTACTCTTTTTAAAGTAACAGCTTTGTTGGCTTCTAAGAATTTAAGTTGTACATTCAACTTGTATACAATTGTTTTGCTACTTATTGTATTCTCATTCCTCTTTTAGCACAAACTTTTAATAATGCTCTTCTCAAAGCAAATTCACAGTCTAAGCTGATGGGGGGCAGTTTCTCTCCATTGCCAAAACGTTTGCCTTCCCAGGTGTAAAACTTATGTTTGTTTTCTTTTAAATGACAGACCTATCTCAAAATAATAAAAAATAATATTAAAAATGTATTCTTAAAAAAGATATTCTTCTGCCAATCGAGTGATAGTTTGTCATTTAAATAAAATACATGTTAAAAGCAGTTTGTTAAGAGTTGATGATCACTACATTAAGTCCTGTGTTTTCTACTGCAGTTGGAAGATTCTCGATTCACCTGGGTTAGTTTGTTCTTCATTAAGAATTCGTAGGAATAAATAGTTCTAGCTGGTGCGGATAATCCTCCTTTCTTCCTTTATCTCAGCATATCACGTCTCCGAAATTGCTTCCATAGATCTCTGAGGTGTTCACTGGTTACAGTCATCACACAAGAGTAATATTCCTTCCAACCAGACTTCGGAGTCTCCTGTGAAAAGTGAAAACATACAATTGGGAAAAAGATACCGCTCACTAAATTCCTCCACACTACATTAAATTTTACTCGGACTCATACACACTAGATGTAACTTGCAATATTAAAATCATGAAAGATCAAATACTTCTTACGGCTCAGAAGTACTTCTGTAAAATGAGGGTTATAAATCCATACACAGGTTAAGTATTCAGAATCCATCCTCACCTCACAGCACACCGTTAGCATTCAACAAATAGCCTGTGTATGTTAAAAGCTGTAAGAAAGGGCTTTCTCTTTATTCAGGTATGTCCTGCTCTCTCTCTCCAGTTTTTTCTTGCTTCTTCACATCAACACTATACTAAAAAATTCACTTCTAACACCAAATAAAAAGCATAGAAAATTATTGATGCTCACAAAACTGAGGCATTAGGAAAAGCCCAATAGAAAACAGGCAGATGATGTGGAAGCTTCTTTACACTGGGTCACCTGAATCCTAAACCGCGTTGTAGTTTGACATTGTTGTATTAATTGACACTAATAAGTGGCCGTCAAATGGAGAGGAAAACCCCCCCCAGGCTGGCCTGGGGGATTCAGCAGACTCTGTGCTGTCTCTGCTGTAGTTATCACTGCAGCTCATTATTTCTTCTGCTATTCCTATCTATACAATGTAAATATATAAATATCAGCTGGGGAGAGAGGCTAAGTAAGGAACCGGAATTGTAATTGTAGGCAAGCAGAAGCACTTACAAGTAATTCTAAATTGTAACCCATTTTAGAAACTAAGTCCAGTGTCTGGAGTTAAATGGGTACAGTGTCAAGTTGAGAGACTGTCTGAGAGCTTGATTTGGTTGAAGTGAGTGAAGAAATTAAAAATAAAGCAACATTGCAATATATTAAAACCAACCGTTAGAGAGTGAAGCCTACATTTCATTCACTCTTATTACTCTTGCATAACTAAAAAGCATTATGCAGAAGTTGTAAATATCCAGAAAACAATCGAATCCACAGCAGTATATAATCTAGATTTTAAAGAAAATATCAGAACCAATACTTACATAAATGAATAAATTACTTGAGATTTATGGTCAATCTTATGAAAAAAAAAATGCATTACTTGCAAAATGCATTGCATTATTTAAGGAAAGCATGTCTGGTTGATTAACCAGAGCTTGGAGATATGCATTTATTTTTTATTTTATGTAACAGGTTCAGAGAAATGTTCATGAAAATCAATAAAAGAAACACTGAAGTACGTCAACCATTAATCTACTAATTTCTCATGTATGCAGTGTTGTTGTATCTACTCTTCTTGTACCAAACCCATAGAAAGAACATTTCATCCACATACTCTGAGATGCTCTCACATTTCGCTGGAACATTTTCCTCCCACTGTACCCAGGTACGTTTTTAAGGTTTTTAGGATCAAAAGCCTGGGTTCTGTAATTTCCAGTTACTTTGGTGAGATGAGTCAGTGAGAGGTGCCTATCACACACCTGCCGCTTTGTTTGCTGTAGAGAAGAGGTAATCAACAGCCTCTTCAACTAGTAAGTAACAGCTACTTCTGAGTGTTTGTTTTTTTTTTTTAAAGCTCTCTCTTGTGACAGAGGTATTCAACTGCTGTATATTAGGAAAGTACAGAAATTAAAAGCTTTCAAAATATTAACTACGCGATGCATCTTAAATGTCGCTTGACTGAATGAAGTATTTCTAGAAGGCAGCAATTTATCCTTGAAATGTGACTAGCAATGAGGTTCTGAATCCACGCTCATCTACCAGCTCTTTCTAAAAAACAAAATTTCCATCCCTGATCAGCCTCAAGACTCTCTCTGTAGAGATTAACTATTACTTCCTAAAAACTTCTTAAATCAGAAATTTAGAAGCCTCACAAAATTCAGAACATCTAGAAAGCAGTTCTTTTAATGCAAAAATCGTAATATTTTCAAGAAGTTGCTCGGACATACAACTTATTTTCTAGGTTTACAATTGTGACATACAATATTTAGTTTCAATAACGGAGCTGGAATTACAGCTTAACTATCTATTACAGGTTCTGAGTGCACAGTGTAGCAAACAGTACTTTCAGAGGGACTCGAATCCCTCACGAAGTTGGCCTCTAGCATCATTTTTTTGGCAATTAACTCTGGAAGGGTTTTGTTTAGCAATTTCCTAGTTAACCCTGCCATGAGGTGTTCAAAGTAGAGCTCTTGGCTCTCTTTGGCAGCTCCATACTCACACATTTTTCCTCTTCTACCTACAGCATCACAGAGGAGAACCTGCCCTGCAGGGAGAGCAAGGCTGGCAGAGAAACTCTCCCAGAACTTCCCCAGCTGTTTGGACCACACAGAGCTTCTACAGTTGTTCCCCAAGGAGAGATTTTCATTATTTGTTAGAAAGGTATCGCTTTTTGTTTTTACACTAGTGAAGTAAAATGCATTAGTGCAATTTGGAGATACATAATGTAGAGCACAACGTGCTGTCTGTCCCTTTTCAGGGTGCAGATTCAAAGCATGGTATAATCTGTGGTACCTGTGCCAGGTATCTTCATCTCTTTCACCAGAGTCCTACATTTACCACAGAAAGTATATCAAAGCCCAGACAATGATCTGTACATTTATATTTGGAACAAAGTAAAATTAAGAGTTATTGCATTGCATCTAACTTTGGCATGTAATTGCAGCAGATTTTTTAATTTCACCTACATGTATGTGTTTCTTTGTACATCAGACTGGAATTTAATTCCCCAATTGAAATAGTTCAATTTCAAATTTCTAGTGATTCCTTCTTTATAATCTTTTCAATTTGTGAACTAAAAAGAAAATAATAATTTTTAGAATTACATAACTCTCCACTCCACACTGTCTGGCAAAGACAGAATTAGTTCTGCTCTCCTCCACAGTAATTCACTCCAAACCACTTCACATCGGGTTTGGCTGACGCTTCCATTTCCATTAACTGACACTTGCAACAGATTTTAGTAAGTATCTACAACAAAATCTTTAGAAATATTCAATGTTTTGCCCAGAAGAGGAACTCAGAACAGCTAACAACGGGATAAGTCACTGTAATTCATCCTGACAGACAGTGAGCAGTTGTTCAAGTGAAGGGCAGTAGCAGAACGTGTCTGCATGGAGGAGGGAATTTTATATAGGTGAGGTTTACGCTGCCTTCTCCAGTGCAGAGGGAACAGACACCTGATACAGTGCTACACACACCAGCTCAGGTGCCAGAATTCTTGTCACAGCACCCAGGAGCTGCAACTGGGAAGAAGAGCAGGGTAAAGAACGACTTCCTACAGGGTGAACATAAATCTCTCTTTATAAATCTCCACTGTATAATTTTTTTTTTTTTCCCAGTTTACTCCATCTCAACAGATGAATGAATGAATTTATTGCCCAAGTTCAGATCTCAGATGTCCAGGTATATAAACTGGATGCTTTTACCACAGCCTCTCTTTTTGCCACCAAGCTAATTTTATTTGCCTTGATTATGAAACATTAGATTCTTTTTTTTTATGTTGTCACACTACGTTTTGTTCCAGTTGGTCACATACCCTTCATGAAATTATTAGGAAAGCATTGTGGCTGTGTAACATTTTGCCAGTTTCCCTGGAAAAACTGTTCCCTGTCTTGAAAAGTTCAATTTAAACAATACTTGAAATGCAAGTACAATGTAGGCTGTGGCAGAATTAGTGGAGACAAAGACAAAATACTCCTGAAAGAATGATTTTTAAAAAGATATGGGGAAGGAAGAGCCAAAAGTTTCAAAGAGATGAAATTACACAAAATTAATCTAAAGCCATGAATTTCTTCTTGTGTGACTGGTGGTTTGGTTAACTAAAATGTTGTTTTAACTATTTCATTAGTTTCCCATTAATCAGGTGGAGAAACCAGACACTTTAAGATCAAATTTCCATTTCTGTTCCTCACATACAATGCTTCCATATGTGAAGCATGCTCATCTGTACTCATAAAGAGGAAGTATAATTCAATAAAAAAGTTGAAAGTGAGCTGTCAACAGTCTTCATAGCAACCACTGCAAAGTCCATCAATACAGCCATGAAAAAAGGGCTGGCACCAAACCCTTTAAATTGCAAGGAAGCAAACTCTTGTTTTATGTAAGAAGAGAAATGTCTAGTAACGCATTTCTGCTGTGTCCACTGTGTGGCAAACAGTTTTGCCATATGGCTACAGAATATGCACACCCCACTTTTTACACTGACACCCACAGTACAATGTAAATGGTAAAGAAGGAATATTCCAGCAGTGGATAGGCAGAAACAGCCACGGTGGTCATGTGTGGGCACAGTGCTGCTTTTTGAAATTGCTGGTATAACATTAAATTGAGATAAAACGACGTTGTTGTTTTCAGAAGCGTTAAGTGTATAAATCAAAGCAGAATCGGGTCTAATACTCCTGAAAGAATGATTTTTAAAAAGACATGGGGAAGAAAGAAAGGAAGAGCCAAAACAGGTAGAAACAGCCATGGTGGCCATGTGTGGGCACAGTGCTGATTTTTGGAAATCGCTGGTATAACATTAAATTGAGATAAAATGATATTGTTGTTTTCAGAAGCGTTAAGTGTGTAAATCAAAGCAGAATCGGGTCACCATTGGTCTCTCAGGAAAATCTGCCTCTACAATCTTCATCGATAAATACTCATTAGCTATAGGTACTGGAGAAAAAGAGGTCACAGGACAGACAGAAAACAGCAACAGGAACTATGGAAGAGTACTTTTCCTTTTTCCAAACATAGCACAAAATCGCAGCTGGCTTACGGAACAGTGACAGCCAACTCCAGAATCAAACTCTGCTGCTTCACTCCAAAAAAAAAAAAACCACAACGTGACGCTCGGAGCTACTACATGGCTTACGGTCGGGAGAACCCAATTCCTGAATTTTTTGGGATGGGAAAACACAGCAGGGACAGTTTAACATCCAGCCATTCCTGCAGGCATGCCGGCACGCTCAGACTAACACATACCGTCAGTTATCTGCTATACAGCTCCTTCCGCACGCAGGATTTGAAAGTAGTGTATCTCTGTATGGGTTTGTAGCCCTGTGGAGCAGAAGATGGAGAAGTGCGCAGATGCAGACAACACGTGAAGGCAGCCAGAGGGAAGCGTAAGACAACGGTATCATGAAAATACAAAAAAATGGCTTTCAGTGACACGTAGCTAGAAGATACAGCATAGTTATGCCCTAGGTAAAAATTTTCAGCATTAATTTCCAAAGCTTTCAGTTTAAAAATGGAATTTATAAGGGATTGTGTATTTTTGAATTAAAAAAAAAAAGAAAGGAAATAACTATTTTAAGCCAAACATAAAGCTTTTCATGTCTGCACATTTCATGGCAATACTCTGACTGACCACTTGATGGCAGCTTAACACACCAGTTTGTTTCGAACTACTAAAACCAAACGGTTTCAGATTATAACACTGTATTTCAGAAAGAGAGAAATTTAATTTGATAAACTCTTTAAGACATTTACTTTTCAAAAAACATATCTAAAATACATTCTAAAATGCGAATTTATTATGTTCCCATAAGGTGTAGCACCTGACCCTCCTCAAGTTTATGGCTAAGATTTTAAAGAGGACAAAGCTGGCAGGTGCTGACTGACCTTCCAGAATTCCAGTTTCATTGGATTTGTGGAACTCTTTGCTCTTAAATATGCTTGCTTTAGTCAAGCTATTTAACTACAAAACACCCTTTTCTAAAATACATGGTCCTAGGACCAAGCTCTGTGATGCCCTCAGGATTCTTCTGGACAAACATTTTAGTAAAACAACTTTTAAAAAAAAATAATTAAAAAAAAAAAGACTACTAGATGTTAATTGTAAAATCATATTTCAAATCATAGGCCTATTTTAAACTGTTATTTTTACACGCTTCTAGAGCAATAATCAGAGACTGCATTGATTTGGGCAGACATTAATTGTAGGATACTTAACATTAAAATCAGGCATTTACACTTTATAAACAGGTTTGAACTTCTCACAGCAAAAATGTCCATGTTGCTACAAAATACTGTGTAAGCAGAAGCTATAATATTTTTATCTGTATAATGGAACTGACCAAATCTTAACATGGACTCAAAACACAGTTATTAAACAAAGAAAAGGTTAGTAATTTGTTAGTTTCGATTTAGTACAAGACAACATTGGAGCCCTCCACGTTGTAGGAGCAAGAGGGTAAACTTTTACATGTTCTGGCCACACCAACTACTGTCTAACTTTTAATGAACAAACAATAGGAAGCAATAAATGACACTTTCTGCCAATTTATTCTGGGCAAAAGGTCTTATGTGTCTTCTTCTCATTCTAAACCAAGACTGGGGGGGTGGGAACTGTTCATTAAACTGAAAAAGCAAATTTTTGCAAAATTTTTACTACCCAGTTTTGGAAAAGTCAGGTTTGTGTGACACAAAAACGTACTGGAAATTGTAATTCCTAAGTTTGGTACTGTAATTATCTTGGAATACTACTGAAGAGAATGCACTTTTGTGAATAATCTAACAAGTCTGCGTGTAGAAATGTCTGAATATAACTGAATTATAGGACTAAATCACGATCATCTCCTATGCAATCCAGGAGATCTCTCGTATCCAATTAAAATTAGACATATCATTTATGAAAGATGGTGCTGTTCTTCTGAACATCCTTGGCTATTCTTTATAGCTCTTTTACAGTCCACTGGAATATTGCCGCTAGGCAAAAGAAAGATACATGCATAAGACTGAATAATGCTGGATGATAAAGATTGTTAAGGGTTATGTGAGTTCTCTCATGCATTTCGTGAAATAGAAACATGTAATACATTTACAAGAATTACTTAGTAAGCAGACCGTTTTTTGGTTAACATACACTGCACACTTACAATTAGTAAACAATCAAAACATAGAGGTGAACATCTCAAAACAGTTATGAAACAATCATCATTCCCACACCAAAATAAAAGGAATTGAGGACCAACAGGGAAATAAGTTGGTTACAAATGTAGTGGTTGTTATCCACAATTTACATTCAATCATAATATTACAAAAATAACAAGAAAACTAACAGACTCAACAGCACAGAAAGTTCTAAAATCATATTTAGGAAGCTAACTAAAAACGACTAAAGTTATATTATAAAAAGAACATACTGAAATGTGAATTTAGAAACCATAATACAGTTTAAGATTTGTGTCTAAGGGATTAGGTTGCCAGTCAGAATACCACTTTAGTTAAAATGTTAACACCTGTCATATGAAGAAAGAAAACCCCATGACTTTTATTGATCATACTCTAAGTAAAAATTCTTCTGCTACTATAAAATTCTCCTCTACTACACAGACCCTGAAAAGGGCAGCAGGGCCTATACATTCACTTAAAAGGCAAAGCACAATTTACAAGCTTGTTCCCTAAGAAAGTTTTCTGGAAGTTACTTCCTTCCCTCTAGCTTCTTGTAATTTAATATATTGGATATGGGGTTAAACTATCAAAAGCTACTTTGCACTAGAATATAGCATTGTTCAGCACCACTCCACTAATTCTTTATTTGAAAATTAAAAATTTTCTGCTGCAACTCTTTCCAACAGTCATTACCATCACTTGCTATTTTAAATAATGTTTTTTAAAGAGCCAATGGTTGACCTTTAAGTAAATTGCCCGGGTTTGAGAGATAAACTCTATTTTCCCTGCAAACATTCCAGACATAATTGCTACCCTTGTTTAAATTCTTAATGCCAATGTACCAATCCCACAATACAGAAGAAATGACAATATGCAGAGGACTTCTCATCTCCCACTGGGCTTGTGTACTATAAAGGTATATTATGTCCTCTATGTATTGCTTTCTAATAAAAAAAATGAAAAATGTAAGGAGTTTATCTTACAGACCGCTTCAGGATTTTTATAAAACATATATCTTTAGATATACATACTGTTGGTTTGCAACTTACTGGTGCTACAGGTGCTAAAGTAAGTAGTGGTAAGTAGTAAAGTCAAGTAACATTACTATAAAAATTAGAATCCTTACCCTAAACCCTCGATTGAGTCTGTCTTTCATAATGCCGATAAATTCTTTATAACTCAACTGGTCATCTCTGTCAACATCAAAAATCTTGAACACTGTGTTCACCAAATGTGGTGAAAGCTTCACACCTGTGGCCACGTACACAGCACGTTTGAATTCATCTGCATAAAGAGAACATCAGAAGAAAAAATAAAATACATTAATTTAATCAGATTTTGGGCAATGAATTATGACATACAAGTAAACTTTTAACTGGAGCTTTCACATTTAAATACTCAAAAAATAAGAAAATGTGAAAATCAGGATTCGATTTCACAGTTCTAAACCAAGTAGTCCATAGTTCAACTGATATAAATTGATACTGCTTAATTGGTATCAATTATTTTACACAAAAGATAACAGCCTATATACTATACTATATGTAATAAAAAATCAGAAAATAGAATTAAAGCTATATTACATATATACTGCTGGCATCTACTTAATCAACACAAATCAGAACCTAAGAAATGGAGCCCAGAGAAAACAGTATGCTCCTTTAGTAAGGCCACACAAGGTAGGCCTATGCTAGTGTTACTTTGTCAGATCCATGAAGATACTACTTGAGGAGAGCACACAACTCCGACCACTTCACACATTGTTCTCCTTGCACTATCCAAGCATCTCAACTGTTGTATTAAGGATTTTATTCAGTATATACCTGCCTAGTTCTTTCAGCACCTACTTACTAATTTGTTCAAAAATCTACCTAATCCCTCTTTGGACCTTCTAACAATGTTTCCTTCTACAACCTTTGTAGAAGGCCAGATTCCAGATGCCTGCTGTGTAAAGAAATGCTTTTGTTGCTTTAAACCTATCGCTTATTGGTTTCATCAAGTACCTCAACTCCCTCAACTCCTGTAGGATTTGGTGACCAGGGTTGGTAAGGTCATCCAACCAAGGCCATGATGGATGGGGCTTTGAGCAACCTGGTCTAAGTGGGAGATGTCCCTGCCCATGGCAGGGTGGTTGGAACTTCAAGATGATCCTCAAGACCCCTTCCAACTTGAACCATTTTATGATTCTATGACTAAGTATTCTGTGTTCAGCTTATCCACCACTTACATGACTCTGTAAAGCTTTGTCATATCTCTTGTAATATGATTGACCCATCTCCTCTCAAAGCTATAGTCATAGCCTTTTTAGCCTTTTACCTGAGACATTAGAACTACAACCTAGGAATTACAAAGCATTTTTGTATTTTTTGTTAACAGTTTTGTATATTTATCAACAGATTTTTATAAAAATATAAATACTTACCTTGACCTATGGAACGACTTGCAAAATTATACATTTGCATTGCAATAGTAAAGTCTTCTAGGTTGTTCAAGAATTGGAAAAATGATCTAAACTCATCAAACGTGATACCCTAAAAAATAGATCAATATGCACCATAAGTATGATCAGTAGTGATGACAACTGAATAAATAAACCTTACAGTCATGTATGTCTACTTCATTTAAGAATAGATACTACAGCCATTGGAAAGAGGAGAGACCTGGTCATTATGGTATGGCAGAACACAGAAAACATGCTGAAGTGGGTTTGTGGCAGAGGAGAAAATGGCAGAGGTTGGGTGTAAACCCACAAGAAGCAAGTACTGTGGTAAATGTGGAGAGCAACATAATATTGTTAAAATATAAGACTCTAATAGGCCTCCACCCGCCTGAGATGTAAACCACATCTTCAGTGATCCTACCTAAGCTCTAGCTAAGATTTATAAACTGTTTGATTGGAGAGCTTGACCCACCTCCTTCATGAATTGCTGTTCTCAACAAGTCTATTTCATCCATTGCAATTAGGAGGAAACACTCATGGACACAAGCAGAGCCACCTCCCCATTCTCCTTTAAATTTTTTATCTTAAAAGCTTAATTTACTAATACTGACCAATACTGTAGTCTTGTTTTGTTGCATTTGACATCTAATATTAGTTTACATCCGAGTTCTGTTTCTTGCACTCTGTTTAGACTGAAAACTCTCTGGATGGGAATAGCTTTGTCAAGTGTTTGTGAAATACCAAGAGCGGTGAAACTTCACTCCCCAACTAGCAAAATAGCAATGATAGAAAATGGCCATCAAAGTCTGACATTTTTAGGGTCACAATGATATTTAAAAATCCTTAATTTGCACCAATTTGTCTGTGAAGATTCTGCATGTGGGAGATGCTGTAAGAAGTCAGGCTACTGCAAAATTCCCAGCTCTTTCCATGTAACTAAATGGGAGATGATCAGCCTAGATAGAAAGTAGCCCTTGCTCTCGTGAAAGTCTGAGAAGCACTGGTCTACAAATAAGCCTTCTTGCAGCTTCTGTGTTTCCAGTAGTGATGAAAACTGCTGCCACGAGTTGACACTGGAGATGAAGCAGGGAGATAAAGGAGCTACACCTGCAGTCCAAGGCTGAACTGTACAAACTCCACAACATTTTTGCAATCAGAAAAATATCTGGTTTCATTTCATTTCTGCTGAAATCACCTGCAAACATACATGTTCATTTCTTCTCAAGGAAGATCAGCAAAGGACACAAAAGAGGCAGGAAGGCAGGCAAAAGACCTCAAAGAGAGTGAGGCACACGGCATTCTACTGTCTCTCTCCTTTCCTAAGACCATATGTTGTTCAACTGGTAACTGTAATAACATTTCATATTTACATATGTTTTGCATTTTGACATAGGAAGTTATCCACGTATAGATATCCCACAGTTTTCATATTGGAAATTATTTTCTATGTAAAATGACTTTTCTATTTATTTGGACAGATTATATTTTACTACAGCACAGAAAACTGCTATATTAAGGCACCAATGCTGTTAAAAATGCATAGACTTTCTTTAGGAGCCGACAGTTGTAGTAATTCAAGATGCCAGCTTAAATGAATCACTGCCTGGCATCTAGTTAGTAAAAGAGAGCAAAATATCTTGTGAGCAGGCAGCATGCCAGATGAACATTTTAATGTGATTATAGTACGCCAAATGATCATCACGTTGCTTTACAGGCTTCCACATACAGCACCACAAAAGACTAACATCGCCAACTGTGAGAGTAGCTGCCTGTTACTTTACAGGCTAGAATAATTTTCCTTCTAACTGGAATCCCCCACTTTGTATTAGCATTGCAGAGTATCACTGTAATAAAGCAGAGCATACCTTTTATAATTTTTGATTTATGTTACTGCAAGTGTAAGAAAGTGCAAACACCAGAGATCAGGAAGAGTAAACCACTGTGGAAGACCTGCTATCAGAACAATGGCATTGGAAGATTTAGGGATGAACTTTGAAGAACACTTCCTTGTATTTAAAAGAAAGTGTCTGTATTTATATTTACTTAATCACCTCCCCCCGTGCCATTCAAATAAGTATTTCTCTATACCTATGCCATTATTTTTCAGTTACCCAAGTGACATATAATTGTTGTTACACAAGCTCCAAAGTGTTGGTTTTGGTTTTTTTCCAGATTTCCATATATGTGGAAATCTTGATTTCCGCCTAAACAAAAACCATCTGGGAACCACAGAGAAAGAGCTTTATACCATTTCTGTTGCACTGTCTCAGTTTTGAATATTGAAAGCTGCTCAGACCTTTTAGAGTAGTTAGAACTGAGTGTAGACTGGGAATGAAGAAAGGGTTGGTGAGCCAGGAACCCCAATCCCAGTCTCACTGCTTCAACGTTACACCTAACCCTGGTGCAAAAGAGACAGCCCTGTTTTCTCTTCCCACTCCCCAGCTATAGTTATCTCTCAGTGGACCTAAGTGAGATAATTCAGAAAACTGTTGGTATTTGGAGTGTTTTTCTATCAGGTCAGCTGGCTGATCTTACTCTGTAGACTCAAAATACAATATAATTTCTCAAATTAAAAATCCCCTACAAAACTGTCCAAACCGATTTAATAATTTTCTTCATGAGCTCTGCTGTCAACGCTATTAAAATATATAGCTTTTGAAAGAGTTAGATTTCTAGGACAGATTAATCTGACCTTCTTCTGTAAACACACACCGGAATATATTCCTATCATCCCTTATTTGAAGGGCTACTTTTAACATTATCCTATTGATTACCCTTGATGCATAGTTGCCACTCCGTTTCTCTCAGATACAGTTCTGACAACACATTTGTTAAACAAATGAAGGACTATCTACCTGATGACCATTACTGCTTTTATTATGTTTTCAATCTCTGCAGCCATTAATAAGAACCACATACCCATCAATAACTGTACACAAATGACCCATTATTAAGGCTATAAAACAACTAGATAAAGGGTGTCAATGCAATTTCTGATTAAGTGCTATACCAGTGGCAGTGCAAAAGAGAATCAAAAAATGGGGTTTTATTGCCTCATTGTTAGAAAATTGTTCTTTTCCAAGTCTTATGCTTTTTGCTGTTCAAACTAAATTTTCACGTAATAGAAAGCTTTGTTATCTAAACTTCAAAAATATTACCAGCTAAATCCTATGGAACATAATACTCTGCTATTTACTCTTCGACTTTTAATTCGGCAAGTAAGCTGAAAAACATGAGACATGCATCTTATGATCAGAATAAAATCCTGGTGCTAATTAATTCAGTGACAGAATCTAATTCAGTCCAACAAGGCTCTGTTTTCACTGCGATGACACTGTAGCCCATCACTGTCCTAACTAAACAATTACCTTTTCTTCAGGAATCGTGCCGCGCAGGTTTTCCAGGTAACTTGATGTGTTTTCCACATTTGTATACCTCAAAAGAATATGGGCAAAGTCTTCCTCACTGATGGTGTTCATCCCGTTAGAGTAGGAAAGGAATTCTATCTCTAGCACCTCAGTTTGTAGGTTATCCATAAATCTAAAAGCACAAACATAAATACGAAGAAATAGTAATATGTATTTCTACCATTCACGTCCTTAAAATGCTCATAGAATATAAAAACAAAAAGCATTATACAAATTAGTTCCCCTTTCGTAGCACTGATGGTAAATTTGGTAAATCCTTTATCTATGTTGAGATATTTCCTAATCAATACAATTTTAACTCAAACAAGAAGTGTTTCATTAAGAATTAAAATGACTTAATACCTACATTTCCAATTTACTTCTGGTTTGTATTTGCTTCATCTTCTTCTTCAGTGGGTCACCAATCTTTGTGTTTATAGGCTAGACTGAAAATTCCATCATGGTACTAAATGAATTCCCTAGATTTATTCCCCATATAGTTACTTACAGATTGCAATTAAACTTTTCTCTTTGAACAAGCTAGATATGATGAACTCTTGCAGCCTTTCAGTCTATAAATATTCATTTTTTTTAGTACTTCACTATTCTTACAATATTTGTATAAACTCTTCCCAGCTTAGCAACCCACCAAAACTGGATAAAGTATAAAACCAGCTACATATAAAAAGGAAAGAGAACTTCCCTGACTCTGCATGATGTCCTGGTTATACAGCCAAGCATGAAATTAGCTCTCTGGTCACAGCACTGCACTTGCAGTTTTTCCATCAAGTTTTATTCTTGCCTTGCAAGGCAAACATACAATAGTATTTCCCTCACCGGTCCATAGTTTAATGATTTTTTGAGCTGGTAAAGTAGTCTTGAATACAACTTGACCCCTCTTTCATGAATATGTCTATTGCATTTTGACCTCTTCAGCGTTCACAACATCATACAGCAATAGGTGGACATTTTAACTAGATGCCTTTTGAAAAAGTACCTTCTTTTCTGGTTCTTGTTTTGAACTTACATCACCATTTCACTTGACATAGTTTTTATGTTATGTGAAACACTGAATACTTTTCACGATGTGCATAATTTTATGGCAAAATACTTTATGAACATCTGCTTGGTTAGAATGCAAAGTGCCAATGATAAAGACAATAGGTATAGGGAGAATTTACTGAGGAAACAATAACCAAACACTGTATCTCTTTCAATCACACAGAAACACATAGTTTTATGGCTCTGTTTTTATGGCACTCTCTCTATATTTTTAAATTCTATTTTAACTGGCATAATAATTAAGCCAATAGCTTCCACTCTGTTTTCATTTTTTCCTCCAAAGCAGCTTTTTCTAAGGTGCCTACATGATACTTCAGCAAAATCTTTACATTTAGGTATGTCCCTAAGAGCAGGAATGCACATAAAGCTTCTTTTAAAGCACTGACAAATGGGAAAAAAATTAAAAATAATTCAAAGCCAAGAAATAAGTTTCTACATACCAACAGGGACAGGGCTGGGGAATTACCTCTCCACCCTGAACCAACTACGCCCACGAGCGCTAACTCAATTTGCAAATGCAGCAGCATCAGTACAGGATCTTTTATTGTTGGTCCACTTACCATTTTATTTCACTCTTTGTATATATAACACACACAAAGGGAACATAAACTTTATATACATGTCTGCATAGTAATACAAGGTGTATAGTAATATAATAGATATTAATTAGAACAAGCATGAGAGTATTTTTTTTTTACAAGGAATTGATGAAGTTGAGACTCACCTATAAAAATCTTCAAAGTTCAGTTCAGCTTTTCCTTTCTTGCCGAAAAAGTGTACAAGGAGTGTAGTATCTGACAGTGAACTTGAAATATCATCAGCACGCTTAAATATTAGAATAAAAAAAAAAATTAAAGGCCACAATTGGATGAGTTACAGAAGTATAATCTGAGAATGCCTAACATCACAATAGACCTTTCTATTAAAAGAGTTTGTGTTTTATGTTCACAGTCTTAAAGAAGATTTTAGTATTAAAATATATTAAATTAATTTATTCATGCATTTTGCACACAAAATAGCATCAGGCTGTTAATTGCATTTAGTAGAAAACACTTAAAACAGTAAAATATAATGGAAGCTGCAATGAAGGGGGTAAAAGCATGAAAAATAAAACCAGAAACTCTTGAGAAAAAAAAATAAAATTCTAGTAATTTAAGGTAAATCATGAAAATAACTTCCTTTGTACACAATCTCCTTTCCCTTCCACTCTACAACTACAAAGAAATTAAAGGACATTACTTCATACAGGCTTATTTTATATTTCAAAATTATTAAGTATGGGACTGTATTCTAAAACCACTCACAGCAGTCAGGTGTACTTTGTATGACTCTTTAAGTAGCAGATGAGTAGTTTAAATTTTATTGCCTGAATACATTTAAACCAACAGAATTGTAAGAAATTTTGAAATCATGAAGTAATATTTTGACTTATTCTTTTAAGAATGTTCCTCATCTACCACGCATGTGGTCTATGCATCAGACAGGAATCTTTGCACATGTACTAATACTTTTTCCTTAATAAGGAACTATCAACTTTGAAGGCACAGAGTTAGAACAATAAAAATAAAAATAAAAAAACAACTAATTTTGACCATTTGGAATAGCAAGAGCTGTAAATAAGACAACATGCATATAAACAGAGATAACTACTGTCAGTGAACAAACAGCAGCACCTGTGTATAGTGATTGTGCGCTGATTTCATCTCTTTTACAAAGAAACTCTTTGTAAAGTTTCTAGAAGAATGAGAAAAACAACTCAGTAATATACAACTGTTAAATAAGCCATAGTATCCCACCATGGCAGTGTCCTTCTGGCATTAACGTGCACTTGCCAACATTTGAAATACAGAAAGCCCTATCTTTAGTCCCCTTGCTGTACCTGCCTAGGGAGACCCTTCTGTCCCAGCTCTCAACAAAGACGAGATTTTATAAGCATCAAAGAGAGGGAGCCAGTAGCCTCTGCCCTTCTGGGCAAGCTACCACCCGTCAGCAACATCATGTTTTTGTGGAAGTGTGCCTGCCAACTCTACTGGTAAAGCACAAACGAGAATACACAGTACAGAAACCTAGTGAGCACCTGGGAGTACTAATTTAGCACCATAATGACCGATTATAAACCTATGGGATTCACTGTTAAGTATCTAAAACTGTTTATACAGATCTAGAAAGATCTGCCTACACAAAACCTGCAAACTGCACTCAGAGCCCTTTGATTCTGACTTTTTTTTCATAACTGAAGGGGCTATAAATTTGTAACACATGGAGAAACTCTAAATGAAGAAGCTAGGAAGAAATTTTAACAGTATGCAGTAGCTCATCATCCTGTATCATGAAAAACCATTTCATATCTACATTCTCTGAAATATACTATATTGATTTCCAATTTACATGCTGATTTGTATAAAATGTAAAATGCAATATCCACTAAGAGTATTTATGTATCAACAAGGAAAAACACGAGGCAGTAACAACACAAACCCTTTCCATTCAACATCCAAGAACTAAAGAAATGAGAGAGACTTTTCTGTACTTCAGCATAATCAGTTTAGGATTCTCAAGATTGTATTTCATGTACTCTACCTTCCTCTTTATTCTCGTATTCTTCTCCAGGGAGAAATAAGATGACATAGTGCATGTATAGGCAGAGAGATATTTCATGTCCTTTAATTAAGACAGCTCTGCTCTTCAAGTGAGCAAACTAATTCAGAAAAGTAATCACTATTTGTCTTTTAATATTGTTATCCTCTACTACAGGACACAATATACTGAAATGCAGATACCCTGATTTCTTATGTCTTTGAAGCAATTAAATCCCTAAGCACATTCAAACAATTTCCCTCAAGTACACTGAAAAGATATCAAATGTTAAATTACAGCCTTTCATCTTGCAAAAACATTTCAAAACCTTAGACTTAGGTTGCATTCACCCATATCTAAAGAACCATTTAAAAAAAAAAATACAATCTGTAAGTCTTTTCACAATTCCCACTTGGTCAGCCTCACCAAATGACCTCCTCCCCCCCTGCAAAACCTCACCACAGAAACTCAACCCGGGATGCTTCTCTGCAGAACTGCAGGCAACTGAAAACTATTCCTCTGCTCCTTCTGCACTGATAGCATTAAATAAATTCTCTCTTAAAGGGGCAAGGATAAAAACAAAAGCCTTAATAATTTAAAACTATTATTTCTTGTTCATAACAAAATGAATTTTGCATTTTAGATCAGTGAAAATGAAATGACCACACCTGTTTACATATATACAAATACAAGCCTCTATTTTGATCTAATATATTTCAGAGTCATTTAAATGAGAATGAATCCCTGCCTCGTTTCTCTTTACCTTGACACTAATACAAATACAGGTAAAGAGACAAACAGGAGATACAAGTGTTTCAGTCACAGCATTGGTTTGCTGCATAATGGCAACATGTTTTCCTCTCCACTTCCTAACCTTAGGGGCAGTATTTTTTAATTTTTTTTTTAATATTCTGCAAAATTAATTTAAAGCTTTTGATTAAAGAGGGGTGACTAAAAGTTACACTCATGAGCAACGGTCCACTTGTAGCGACATATTCTGAGAATGAAGTACACATATTATGCTTTGAATTAGTAAGACCTTTCTTATCACGAGTCCTTGATTTTTCAATAGTGATCATAAATCTACTGATTTCCAGTTTCATCTAGTAATTTAAGAATAAACACAACTAAATTCAGTGATAACTGGCATATTCCAACAGGATGGGGTAGTTGCTAAGTTAGGAATAGCCGAATGTACTGTAAACTGTCCTAGAGAGAAACTGGATGGGAAGAATAACTTCTTTTCCCCCAAACGAGACCTTGTAAGTTGATTCCCACAACAATGAACCTTATTTACTCTCCTTTTCAACTTCGACATGGCCTTCTCAAAAGGCTCCAAAACAACACAGACTCCAGCATCACCTAGCCTTATGCCACTTTCTTAGTACAGATGGCTAGAGTATTATTGAGACCTGGGAGAGATAAGAGTATGGATGAAAGCCAGCTGGCTTCAACTTAACCCAAGCAAGATAAAGATGATTATGGTGAGAAGTGGGAAATTGTCAGTGGAGCAAATGCAGGATGTGATTTTTCTTCATAAAATGACTTACAGGTGAGCAGAGAGAATTTTTATACACTTTACAGACGATTTAAACCTTTTAGCTGCTGTTAAGGTTCAATTACATTGCAGTGAATGATATCAGTCTGAGGCATGGGATATAAAAAACCTCCCTTTCTTCAAATTAAAGGTGTGTAGAGATTACCAAACTGAAGACCACCTATACTTGGGACTGAATTCATGCCAGCTAACTGTAGATTAAGAAGACAGTTAATTCAGAAAACTCAGTCCCCCAAGCTCCTTAAATAATCAATGAAAAGAGCGTCCCTCTCTCCCCTCTCTGTCTCCCTTAGCTGACTATACATGAATGCTAATGTCCTGGGTTTTAAAAGTTGGTGAAATAAATAGAGGACTAATAACTGGACTAACTCATCAATTAAAAAGCAAGGAAAGAAAGACTGGGTGTACTGCTTTATTGCAAGATTACCATGAATATATTATTACTATGGATATTGCTATAAATAATGGTATAAAACTCAATTCTGTAACACCACATTTTGTTTTGTAGTGGAATGAACTCAAGCTGAGAGAGGTAAAGAGAAGGCCTATTTGATGCCTAGAAAATGTAGGTTCTACCTTAAGAGAAAAAACAAAGACCTTATTGTGTTTAGCCTATGATAATTAAAACTGAGGGCTATGACTGCATTTATGAACACAACCACGAGCAAGAATACTAAAAAAACCCCAAACTTTATGAAAATTAAGGGACAACAGACCAGTGTAAAGGGACTATGAGTAAATTTAGTTTAGAAATTAGAAAAAGTCCATCCAAGTCCTCAGGTTATTCAACAGCTTCTGCAGAGGAACAGCAGGGACAAAACACTAATTATTTTAATATGAAGCACACATTGCTTATGAAGCAAAGAAAAAGATTGTTTTACCCTGGAGGTCTGTTTCAGTTCCTTGTTCTTTTCTCATTATGATCCTGCTTATGAAGCACGGACTCGAGCCCAGGGTCAGTGGGGAGCTGCTGAATGTCCTTTAGTGCCACAACCAGCAGAGCAATCGCCCTCACTGTATGGGGCACAGAAAAGCCTAAATGATCTATTTTTCTTACTCTCTTAAGTGATCAGTACAAATTAATGTCTTACTCCATTATCATGATCAGTACAAATAAATGTCTTACTCCATTATCTGACAGCAGATCACAAAACAAGAATCCTACTGGAATTTAAAGCACTATGGAAATTAATTTGACAGCTCAGTGATAGCACTAGTCCTCCATCATGATTGTGTAATACTAAAAAAGATTGACCAACGTTTTGGTTACCTTAAAACATTCCTGGTTTGATCCAACACTTAAATCAATCTTTGCGTGATACTGTTTTTGTGAATATAAGCTCTGATAATATACATAAAAAGCACATTAAGGACCTAAATATTAAAAGCTGAAAGGTCTGCAACCCTCATTAAAGTTGTCATAACACTGGACCAAGCCTAAATTACAAAGATTTCCTGAATTACTTCTCTAACTGTGAAATATTGCCACTATTAGTGTTAGAAAATGCTTCTTACACTAAGGACTGAAGAGGACTTGATCTTCCAGCTCTTTCAAAAGGTAACTTTGTTTTTACTGGGAAATGACAACTTTCAATTATCGCACTGCACGGAACCAAATCCATTTCATCTGAGAAATTTCAGGTTTAAAAAAAAAAAAAATAATTAAAAGGAAGAGAAGAAACAAAGTGCATAAAGTAGGAAAATAACCAGAAAAGAAATAAATAAAATAACAGTGTGTTTATGGACCAGAGACAGAGGTTGTCATATACCTCCGCAAGGTCCGAAAAGAGCGCTTGGCTTGTGCTACGTCTCAAAGTATCCCAATAGCTTCTGGGGACAACGTCCTCGCCTTCGGTTTTAAGAACCTGCAGAAGTTTCAAGCACAATTGTTTGAAAACCAAAGAACAACAAAACAACCACTTACAGACTTTAAAATCCTTTCCGACTAATCTTCAAGAACATGGCTTGATTCTTTTGCTTCTACACAGAGAAATTTCTACCCAGTTACATGATACCTTGTAAATGAAAGGAACACTGGCCTATTGCAGCTATTTGCTTAATACTCATAACTTGGCTGTGCCAAAAGTATCACCAGACTCCACTTTCCCAAACAAAATAAATCAGAGAAAGTGTAAAGTGAAACTACTAATTAAAAATACATGTGAAAATGTCCATCTAAACTCAGTATTTTGCTGTTTTTTTCCCAACAAATTTTATTGCCAAAATTAATTAATCATTAATTTATATACTTATGAAATTTGTTTTCTCATTGGTCAAAACACGAACATCACCATACAAGTAGTTATATAACATTAATTTCATCCAATAATCAAGACAACATCCTTGTTTCAATAAAGAAATGCAAAAAACAAGCCTAGTAAGTCCAGCTTCAACTGTAACATGCTCATCAAGAAAAGACTATGCACATCTGATCATCAAACTTACCTTGTTCAAACAGAAAGTAAGTTTAATCTCTCCACAGAAAACATGCTTACCTTTTTGCTCTGTAATTTTTAATTTTTGGAAGCCTGAAAAATCCTCCCTTATTAAAACAGGCCTTCCTTTTTCTTGCAGTTAGTTTGAGAAGATCTATGCAATACATTTTACTTTTTCCCCCCCAAATAACGTAGAGGAGGTGATCCTAAAGACAGCAGAAGGTTATTTGAACTCTGTTAGGGTTGTTGCAATTGAATGAATTTTTCTCTTTATCTATGCTAGGCCTCCTGCTTTCCCAGCTCCCCACTCACATCCATCTGGGCAGGCGAGACAAAGCCAGAATGAATTTAATCTTATAACTACAAATGAAAACCTTTTTTTTTTTTTTTTTGACTCAGCACATGCTGTTCTCTTAGGAGATTTATGCTGCTGTGCAATGTGTAAAACCACACTGTTATAAAGAATACTGTACAGAGTCGAAGGCTTATTGTCTCTATGTACTCTACACTATGCCAACACACTATCTGCACTGCTTCTAAAAGTTCTATCATGTACTTCCTCCACTGACCAATTCAACTCAGCTCTTCTTGTCATCAAAGAAACATGATAAACTACCAGGAATTATATCCATGGTTAATGTATGTTATACTTTTGTTTCCTTTTTGGAAAATTCTGGTTTTATCTTTCTCTCATTATGGAGTAAAAGTTCCTATGTGGTGGCCACATCATATATAACTCCATTTGTTGCTAAATTGCTAAAATCAAATAAATATATTTACTTCAGTGTGTACAGGATTAAGTAGCCGTTTCTCTCCTACACATAAGTTTACTGCATCATATGAATAAGCACCTCATTCTTTTATGCAATTCTGTAATTATCTATATTAAGTATGCACTGAATTAGTTTTCTTACTGGAGATTTACTTTAGCCAATGGAATTAGTACTTCAGGGCATGCACATTTTATTTTCCTTACATGCACCTCACCATAAGTATCATGTTCCGGTTGGCATTCAGCTAGTGAATGCACTCATGCAGCACATGCTGAAGTAGTCTTAACACACACCTGCAGTATGCACCAGAACATGATCTGAAAGAATTCACCTATGCAAATGCAAATACAAAAATATTTAACCTCTTTAAAATGTCCCTGTATGTGTTCTATGGCTTACAGACCTCCATACTTCTCAAAAAGTTACAACTGCTTTGAAGGATGAAGTGAGGAGAAGGGCCCAAGACAGCACTTTGGACTAATCCAGATGTTTTAGGGCTGTGTCTCCTTGGTCTTGAGTAGCTTCAACTCCCCAGGACATCAAGGGAAGCTGAAAAGACTGCTACACTTCTTCAGTAGGAGAAATAGAAACTCAAATTATCAATTTTCTGGGTTGGGGGATCTGTCAGACACTGTGAATTCCTATACACCTGAGTCTCCTTTGTGTGGAGATCTCCATTCAGGTAACGGAAGGGTGGAAAAGGATGGTGCACACCTGGGCATCATCTTGATAAAAGAGTATGGACCTGGCTGGAGTTTAGAAGGAGACTTTCACTAAAGTTGAAAATTGCAGGAGTAGGAAAACCTAACTAGTTTGGTTTCGGTTTAAAACAGGAGGCAGCAGAGGAACGTGGCAACCACTGCACAGCACCTTTCGCTGCAGTAAAGCCTGATCTAAAATCCGTGGAATCATAAGGCCTCACATTTCCTACCCCGTTATTCTCACAGCACTGCAGCATCTACTGCACCTTTTCACTCAGCAGCCCTCCTTCCTCCATGCTGCCCAAACTGTATGTGCTAACTTCACCAGAGATAGATCTCTGCATTCCTGTGAAGGATTTGATAAAGAAACAGACTTTAAAACTGGAATTTCACCAGTTATCTAATTCCGTAGGCTCCCTCCCCTCACTTTGAATATCACAATAATCATCCCAAAACCAGTTTAATTCTTCTATTTTAATATCAAATCAATCTTTTTTACAAGTTTAACTTTTGCTGTCACCCAAAATTTTATCAGGTCACATTAGACATTAAAAAAAAAACCCAGAAGGTCTCTCTCTTGGTCATTCTCTCTCCCACTCCTCAAAAATGATTGAAGATAAGTTTACTGTCACCTACATAATACAGGGACTATTTTCTGTAAAATCCTGTCCTAGTTCAGCACTGAAAGTTCTTATTCATTTGTTCTTTAAGTGAAGCACAAAAACATAAAAGCTCTCTTCCAGTTTCTTTTTTTTTTTTGGGGTGGGGTGGGTGGGTAGGGCAACAGGAAGGTGAAGTATTCATTTGACTAATTATTACTTCACTTTACACACAAGGAGACAAGACACATCTGGATCAAAAAAACTCATGCAGGATGACAACTCACATACAAGTCTATAATTTCCTAGGATGTAGTTTGTCTTTTCCCTTAAAAATATTGTTTACTTCATTTTATATGAACAGAGGAAGCAACCTTCCCTCCTGGTAGGCTCGCCTGTTTCAGAATGCATGCAACAAGCATGCACAACCTTTTATGCAAGTGAAGATCCATCACATTTTTACTGACTAGCAGAAGTAATTTACTTGAGGAAAAAGAAGAATATTGTAAATTTTCTTATAGCATATCATTTCACTTCACTGGTGAAGACTGCATAAATTGAAAATAGTTAGAGTACATACACTGTTAGTAGAAGTATGATATCCATAAAGTTGAAGACGCTGACATACAGCAAAAACGGGTCAAACCAAGTATCACATGTCAGAATGAAGCCAAAAGAAGGGGGAAGAAAAAAAAAAAAGACAACAGAATAGGTTAAGACAAGCAAATCTTTATTTTATATATTATTAAATTTGTTTGTTTTTAAGATGACAGTGAAGAAAAAAATGGTTTCTCAAATTTTCCAAAGAGAAGTACAGAGTTACAAAGATTACTTTTAAGATAAATGTTCTATTTTGCAATCTTTATTTTTTCCAAAATGTCCTCCTTTGGGTGCAAGTTTCCTTTGTTCAGAATAAATAGCATGTGAGAGATTCAATGACTGATCTACAGTTTTGAAAAGCTGAGGATATGTCTCTCTGAGTGGGAAGAAAAGATCCCTTTTTATACTCAGGGAAGGTTTAACAAGTATTAATTCTTGAAATTCAAACTTTCTATGGTTTCATGTACAAAGATCTGAGATCAAGCATCTAAGGTCCCAAAAGGATAATAGGCACTAAAAGAAGATTTGCATATGTCAAAACATTTCTTATTATAAGGAATTTTTGCCATAAATATAGAAATCGCAAATGAATGTGGGTTTTGCGTTTTTTTTTCTGCTGTGGGCTTGACAGAGACTTTTCCCTGATTTTGACTTGTCCAATAGTAAAGTAAGTTCCTGCTACTGTTGCCACCCTCTAGACCAACCACCACAGACTTCTCCCTTTCTGACTTACCTTCCTTAGGCACAAAAGAAATGCAAATTTGACATTATGTAAGAATGAGTACTTAATATTCCACAAAATTCTATTCAGATAATATAAACAACTGAAAGCATTTTGCATTGGTCATAAGCAGTATTTAATAAAAAAAAATTAAATTTTAATTAAAAAACCCTTAAATACAAAACCTAAGTTCACTTATAACATTTCATCAGCTGTTTCAAAACTACTATTTTAATACCAAGCATCAGGATCAGTATGTCTACATGAAGATCTTTAATTAGTTATAAGAGCAGGAATAGAGTTTGGTCCTGTCACTAAGATCTCTCACTCTTACAGACAGTAACACTGGATCATCAAGATTCACTTTTTCCTAGATTTATAGACTCAAAATGGAATCAATGCTGCTGTCATAATATTCGATACAGTATTTAAACACTGATTTTTCCTTTCTATAGACCACTTTTTTTTTCCAATAACTGCATTTAGGCTAAATATTGCTTTTTTCCATCTATAAAGTTATGCACATTCTTTTATTGATATGAATTTATTGTTTTTAAAAAAATTGAAAGTGATTAGTGAAATATAAACATACACAATTTTGTCCTACATCAAAGAAAACAAACCAACTACCAGGTGCAATTACTATTCTAATTTTACTTACCAGCATTGCACGTTTTTCTTCATCTCCTTTTCTTTCTCTCTTCTCATTTTTTTTCCTGAAAATCTCTTGTAGCTAACAAACAAAAACAAACCATTTTTTTCTTACTTAGTTTTCAGGCTACTTCACACCCATAACAATCATTCATAGTGAGGAACTGCAAACAGTACTAAAATATCAATGTATCAATACTTTATTGTTCATATTAATGCCTTCATGTTCCTCCTGTGACCTAAACATCACACAGAAAGGAAATAGGAAATATTTTTTCCACTAACTAAGGCTAATAATTCTATTTGGGAGCACAATATTAAGAACATCCTATTTAGCTTTACATTTTAGGCAATCCAGCCTATACAAAAAAGGGGAGTTCCAGCCTTTTTCACCACCTCTAGGCACATCCTTTCTTGTCAGGTACTAATTAGTATCTGTGTGGCTACGGAGTCAGCTGGATCAATCTTTTATTCATATTGTGAATTTCCAACCAGATCAGTTCTTAGTCCTGCTGGCACAAGGGAGGGGTGGAAACACCTGGTGGGGGTGAAACATCCCCCTTCAGCAGCAACAAACCACTAGTCAAGAGTAATTTATCAAGTACCCCTGTTTTTTTTTTTTTTTCAAGTCTGTTCAAAGAATACCTTCAGGTCTTGTAAAATACCCCTTTCACAACTTTCTCTACATTAAGAGCTTTAAACACGACTTCTGAGAAAACCTCAAATACAAGATTTAAAACATACAGATTCTTGAGTGTATTTATTTTTTGAAATTATAAAGTCTTCAGAATAAAAACCGATCTGTACTTAATCTTTGTTTGTAAGTATCTGTTTATTTAGATATTTTGATTTATAGTAGTACTTACTAATATTCCCAAACCACTGGAAAAAAAAGTGTCACAGTGCTTACTCTTCACAGCAAGAGAGAGCAGCATTAATCATGATGCCATCTCTATCTCTGCCAGTGAGCTTCAGCCTTTCAAAAATTGCACCTGAAAATATTTTAAGCCACTCGTAGCATCTGCTAATCTCAAAATGGGCTGGAAAAAGAATAAACACTGTGGCTGGCAAATTTGTTTTATCTAGAATATGGTATTTTTGGAACCAAACATCATGGCCTACAGACACAACTGTGGCAGTCGCTTCAAAGACCTGCTGTTACCTACCAGACGTCGGATAAAAACCCGATGCTGTAAATGCCACGCACACAGAGCTCCCCTGGGATCGGAATGTGAAAGATAAAGTGTGTGTGATGAATTTTGCAAGCAAATTTTCCAAATTTAATTCCAGAGCACCATATTTCAGAGAAGGCAGATGACCAAGACAAAGGCATCCACAAGCTCTACTGCAGGGGTCTGACAACATTGAAATAAATGAATACATTGTCTACTGATTAAATAGCAAATGCATTTATAAATAGTGTTTTATGAGTTTCCAAAATTGACTACTGTGTTCTGGAATTGCCTATAAGGCAAATACAGTCCAGAATATTGTGTGTGTCACTGTATCTACTTTTGAGAATGGGATCAATTTATGTTTTTTTTTCTAGGTGTGTTTTTTTCTAATTTTTTGCAAACCTACAGGCACAAATTACTGTAAGCTTTGCTGACAAGGAGGGAGATTTAGCTGGATGGCCTAGAGTATTACACAGTTTGCAACCCAAAACTGTGGAAAGAAGAAAGGTGAATGAAGAGAGAGAAGTCGAAAGAAAATACCTTGTGAAAAGTGAAGTGACAAGCCATCAAGCAGAAGAGTGGCAGGAATTGAAAAACCCAAAAAAGGTCTGTAAAAGCAATGCATCCTTGGATGTATTTCCCCCGCTGCAGCAGCAAAGGGAGTAGGATTCTGTTGCATTTATCATTAAAGCACTTGCTAAACTCCTGGAAATGGCTCTTTTGTTCAGAAGGAGTGCTATAGGATACCAGCCAGTAGGAAAGTGAATGCAAAATCATTAAAGCACTTGCTAAACTCCTGGAAATGGCTCTTTTGTTCAGAAGGAGTGCTATAGGATACCAGCCAGTAGGAAAGGATCTAGGAGCACTTTCATAGGAACATTGTTTGAAACAGGATAATGAGACTGACTGCTGAAAGCAGCTAAACCTAGATCTCCTGTAACAAGGCAACACAATCCTCCTGTTCCCTGACCTCACCCCTATGACATAAGCAAAGAGGAAAGCACAAACACCACGGCATTAGTTTACAAAAACACTGAAGCTGTTATCAGAAAAATTAGGTATTTTTCAACCCTTCCCTACATGTACTCTTCTCTTCAAGAATCACAAAACTTGTGATCCCTACACCAATCTCTTCCAAGTCTCTTTATTTGCAAAACTGAATAGTATTAACTATATTTCCAATTTTATGATAGCTGACTGTAATCAATGGAGAAGTATTTTGCAAATTCTGGATATAGTTGAAATGGCAGCAGGGCAGTCTCCTGCTTCTAGGCACACAGGAGATGATGCACACCCAAGTAAGGCAAGTTCAGACACCAGATGTATATTCAGGTCTATCACAGGTGCAGCATCACCAAATCAACTTTTTTTTTTCCTATTTACTTATATTTACACAGACATTATCTATTTCAGTCTTTCCTAGTTCAGGTCTAACATCCTGACTTACAGGCTTTGAGTCAATTTTTGAAGGGTCGCTGACATGGTAATGAAGCAGAGTTAGGGTCAGGTTCAATCTAAACAAATTTGTTAAATACAATAATATGTAGAGAACAATATATCTAATGTTTAAAATTTCTCTTTTCTTTCTTCTAACCACCAAGTCTGGTAACAGAAAAAGAATAAGAAGGAGAAATTTTTATCAGGGACCATGACAGAGAACAAATAAAAAGCAGGACGTGAAGAGAACTATAAAAGCCTGGTGAGACAGAAAGATGCAATATCCGTAGTTAAACGTTGTTCTTGCTTCCTGCCTTATATACTTGTTTTCATTTTCAGCATCAGTTTCTGAAAGACAAAGCCACCTGGCTTCAATTTCCTCCTGCTTGGCTGTTGTAATGCAAGCCTTTTTTTTTTTTTTTTTAAAAAAAAAAAAAAAAAAAAAAAAAAAAAAAAAAAAAAAAAAAAAAAAAAGGGGAAAAAAAAAAAAAAACCGCTGGGTGTG